TGCGCGAACGTAATGCCTAATATCTGCAAGCATGGGAAGCAGAGTCTGGCCACTCAACAGACGAGGCGACATTGTATGTGGTACTGAAGGCTTAAGAAATATAAGCTGGTATAAAAGTAAACTGTTGCTGGAACCGAGCGAAATCGGTCAGCCAGAAGGATAAAAAATGTACCTACGGGCCAATAAGGCAGATCTGGACAGGAGGATTGGGTTGGATCAGCCATTCGAAAGGGAGGCGAGCAAGGCAAACAGCAGATGTGATGACACCACGATAAATTCGTCAAAAGCGCACATCTTTTGTTGTATACACACATTTCGGAAGTTGTGATGGGACGAGGGCGAGACAAGAGCTTAGGAAATAGATAGAGGGGTTAGGATTGAACAAGTAATGATAGCGCAATCGCTTCAACCGATAGTTGATTAAGGGATTGACTTCATTTGTCTCTGACGCGTTTTATCTTGGTGCAAAGAATGGCAAGGCTCAGTGAAGATGACGGCGAAACGTCTGGGAATGTACCATGTATCATGCACACTCTGAACTCCGAACAAGATGAGTTCCTCTAAGTCCTCCTGTTGGTATGGCCCAGTTACGAAAACAAGGTCAAACAACTACCATGCATCGAAAGAAGAGTGCGACCAAACAGAGGCCACAACATCTTGTTCTTCGTATCTATCAGTTATCAATTCATTTATATCCTCAAACATGTTTTATTCTTTATCTCTATTGAATTTGACACGGTATATACATTTGAAGCAATCTGTCCTCGTTTTCGCAACTTGGACATTTTGTCAAACTGATCTAGTTGGATGCACCTTGTCCGAAGTCATCTGTCGTAGTAGCTATAATAATCCATATGGTTAGAGCGTGGACCTGGTGCATTCCTTCATTTTGACGAGTTTTGCTTGATGCTGAAGATGGGAAGGCTCAGTGACGGCGCCGACTATGATGCCGATGGAACGTCTGGGAATGTACCAAGTTTAAAGTCCAGTGCTGGTCATTATTATAACTACTACAGCTTATTTTGAGTAAAAAAACCATTAGAGGATACTCCATTTCCCAACAGAAAAAAATTGCTAAAATTAATTTTGTTGATTATCTCTTGGATATATACATAAACATAATAAAAGTTGGGTTTTGATAAGTCTTATTATTCTATGCTATTTGATATATACCTTGGTACAAAAACCAAGTTTAACGTTAGCTTGAGAATTTTGTAAGAATGACCTCAGCTCTGATTTTGTATTTCGTACGACAGGCGGAAGCTTAGTCCGGTTTCACTTGAAAAAATGGAATAGGTCTCATCAACTGCATCAATCCTTAACGTCGTATTAAGGCCAAATTACTACAGAACAACGGGGGTCAGTCGTCTTTCCTTGAGATCAATCAAAAAATATCATAATCATACACCTTTACACGAATTGAAAGTTTCCAAAACGATGTTATCTCAAGAGGGTCCTCGTAGCTGAAACGGAATTGCAAATCATCATAGCTCAAAACCAAATTGAGATTCCGACGCTGCACTCTATTACAGACTTCAGCATTGCTTGATAAAACTGTATGCGATGTGGGTAATACAATTTATATTCTGTCGCATCCATCTGTTAGCATGTACAATCAACATGAAATACTTATGATTATTCATTATTTATATCTATTTTCGCTTCTGGTGTTTCTCTCACTGATAAGCTATTAAGTGCACAACTTTCTTTTCCTGTTATTAAGACTGGATTATTTGATTCTCTTTAGGCTCTATTTTTTAATTATCATTTGATTGTTTTTATTCTCATATTTTCATTGCCTTCTACAACGCTTTTTTGTGCAGATACTCGGTTTCACGTAACTTTGCATCATTCGAGCAATGGCAGCAAGCTCTCCACCGGTCTACAGTCAACTCTTCATTTGCAGCTGTGGCGCGCTTTACTCATCAGTGAACCTTCTGCGGGATGCAAATTGCTTGCCTCTTGGCCATTGGAAAGCATCAAAATGGCCTACTGTGTTGCAACTGCCAATGATGCTTCTGCCTTTGTTGCACGCACTCCCGTTACTTCCGGACGTGTCTGTTCATCCGTCAGTGGAGCAATCGCCTCCCTGTCTAGCGGAGCTGGACGGCCCTCTTCTCGTCGACATCACACCTCATCCACCTCGTCTACTGCTTCTATCATTCAGATTCCGGGAGTCAGTGCTACTGCTTCGCCAACGGCTTCAAATGATGTAACTGGGCCCTTGGGATCCAGTGCGAATTCCGGAGCCACCGCATCTCGCCCTATCGCTAACTGCGTTTCTGATCAATATACTCAGAAACATCAACACACGCTATACTCCCAACCCGGATCCCTGAGCTCTGCAGGTCGTCCAACTCTATTGGAGGCTGACCCTCTCAAGCAGTTACCACAGCCAAATAGCTTAGCTTTCGATACAGCCTATAACCTTCCGGGTCTCGAAGGAACTTTTCTTGCTGGTGAGCAAGACGAATTTGATCTGGATGAGGAAGATGCTGGCCAGGTCAAAAAATCCGTTGGAGCATCAAAGACTACTGGAGAGGTTTTGTTTGTTCTAGCTGCGAACAAGCATGCTGGAAAAGGTAATGCTCTTTTGTTTCGAAGTCTTTTCTATCGTACTTTCTATCCATCTATGAGTACCTATGTCCTTCAATCTCACTGCCTATACTTAAATTTCCACTCGTTTAACCATCTCCATATATTTTTACCTATGTACAGGTATTTATCCAATGTATTATTTACCAATCCGGCTATCTATATCTCACTTATAAGAAGTTTTGCATCACATTTATTTTTTTATATATTTAGCTTGTCCAAATTCTCGTTCTTGCTTTCGAAGCTGTGATTAACCATCAAGACTTGGTTACATCCTTCCAGAGTAACATAGGAACATCTTGCTATTTATATTTACCAGATTCACAGATTGTCCTTTTTTCAGTACATATTTTAGCTTATTTTATTCCTCTAGGATCATTTTGGCTTTTCATTATAACTATAAAAAATTTTTATGTTAAATTCTCTTATATATTTGTCATTCTAAATAGGAATTTTTCTCTCTTAGTCAGTGATGAGATCTCCTTAATGCTCTCACAAACCACATGTATTCGCCTACTGTTTCGCCAAATATCTTCACTAAAATGCATTTTTCAATCAAGTTGGAATGTACTTCCAGGATTACTTTGCTTTAACTAATAGTTCTATTCCGTCTGTTTGTCTTTAGAACATCTGATGCGATATATATATATACCCATACGCCTAAACTTGCCGGCCTTTATATAAGAAGCTTTCTGAACACAGAACCGATTGCCTAAAATCTATTCTGGTGAAAAGTTTTAATGCATGGCCAGAAATAGGCTGTTTTTTTGGGTATTGAGAT